CAAAGCAAGTTCCAGCAGTGTTTATCAACCACAAAACTATGTCCTGTTTGCGTGGTTTGTGGTACTAGGCGTTTCCCGTGGTTCTTTAATCTCTCTAAATATTTGCTTATTCATGCGAGGAAGGTTGCCTAAGGTCTTCTTCTTATAATTATAACAGTATACTGAATATATAGTATTGAATATAGTATTGAATATATTAAATAACATGGTATAACACTGCCATGTTACAATATTCACTGCATGCATGGTGATCATTGGTACAAAAGATAGTTTTGAAAGTCTGTTTCTGTTTAATTAATAATCTGCCTGATTACGTTTGGAGAGTACATTATTATTGTAAGAAATGCATGCCGTGCAAAAACGAAGTTTGAACTTCCTGTGGAAAAATACTCAACAAACTAAAGGCAAAGCTCTTCTGATGTCGAAACATGCATTGAATTTTGATGAAAACGTAATCGTATAATATACAGTGTCAACGCATCTTCTTTTATTTTCGTTCACTCAACGATTACGATTTTTATTAAGAAAAAATACTTGACATATAGTTCAGACATCAGGTTCGTAAATTTATACACCTTAAAAGGTAAACATCCAATCATTACTGGAATGGGCAACGTATGAGTAAACTATCCTGGCTGACAAAAGCTTTTTCCAAGCAGATCGCGTCGTTTCTGTTGGAATTTACTATTATTTTTCGTGATTACCGAGCTTGCTATATAATAGGGCGTACTGAAATAAATTTTCTCCTGCTGCAGGCATGTGGAACAGTAGAATGAATTAAATGTGAGATATAAACAACAGTGTAAATAATGCAATAACAACGCCCCCTCCCCCCCCCCTAAGTGATATATCTGGGAGAAGATGCTGCATGGTTACAAATCCGATCTAATGTGCTTGCATGTGTTACTCTACAATCGTCCAGAAATATATATTGAGACTTTTGGAATTGCTCCCACCTTCTGCATATTTCAATGTTGGAAGGCTAATTATTTTTCGAATGGAATATTACGTGAACCGCCACTCATTCAACAATGTTGCAGCTCAAATCCGACAACATTGAAATGGAGGAAGAAGGTTTGCCCCAATTTTTTGCGGACGATTGTAGTTGGCGCCCGGATAACAAATGATGGATTGGTCATGCAAAAAGGAAGGTCTATATAATATAACATCTAATTATTTAATCCTGGAAAATGCTATAGTGGACTAAGTATTGATATTAGTCTACAAATTATATAGGCATGCATGCATAATTACAATAATTATACATAGGTATAATTGGTGAATTAAGAAGTATATCATAATTAGCCATTAATTAACTGATAGCCGTGGTGACACCAGACACTGGCATAAATATAGGTATAATTTTTCATCTTTAAAACTGTTTTAAATCCTTAAAGGACAATGGCAACAAAGGTTTTATTTTCTCATTTGAAAGAACGTTTAATGAATTTAAAATTAATTTCAAAATTACCTATGAAACCTTGTTGCAGATTTTTCAATCAAGCTTTATTCTTGAAATATTTTGACTGAAAGCAATATATGAGCTGTCCGCCATCTTGGATTACTTCCTAACATCATTAACTATGGTCACCAAATGGTCTAATCTTATTCTGACTTTTACCTTCTTATACGGGGCTACTGCCGCACTGTTTGTTTCAGAAGACATTCCAGACACAACAAATAAAATATAATTATAACATTAAAAATAATGCCCCCCACCCCCCAACAATACACGCATGCGACAATCCCTCATACTTTAAAAACAAAATTTATAGTTTCTATAACGTTTCACGCATAAATCCTTTTCCAGCGAATAATAAAATGTAGATTAGGCTTCCTACAATTTTTGAAATATGACAAAATCGTGATTTGAAGAGAGGTTTCTTGTTAGAAGACAAAAATAGTACCACATATATTGAGCAATATTCTAAGAGTTGAAAATTGTTCACAAAAATGACGTCATTACCGTTGCAATTGTAACAATGGCATTTCAATATGGCCGACATTTAACTTTTAACACTCTTTACTCGAAAAAAGGCCGGTTACCCCCATATTTTATTTCATGAAACGTTTTCATGTAGAAAAATGAATGATGTGAACAAGTTTTAACAAATTCTGTGGATCAGAAATTTAAAAAAATTAAAAAACATGATTTTTCGTGATAACTATTTTTTGGATCTACAGAATCTTTTTAATCTTGTTCACATCATTCATTTTTCTACATGAATTAAACGTTTCATGAAATAAAAAATGGAGGTAACCGGCCTTTTTTTCGAGTAAAATGTGTTAAAAGGCCGAATGTCGGCCACATTGAAACGTCATTGTTACCATAGCAACGGTAATGACGTCATTTTTGTGAACAATTTTCAACTCTTGGAAGATTGCTCAATAAATGTGGTACAATTTTTGTCTTCTAGCAAGAAACCTCTCTTCAAAAAATTAAATCTAAATCACGATTTTGTCATATTTCAAAAATTATAGGGAGCCACCTTAAAATAAAACTCCAAATATCATCTTTCAGGATATTGTCAATATTTTACATGACGTACTTCGACAACAGTGGTTGCCATGGTAACACCGGTTATATATATTTTCCTACGAATTTTCGGACTTCATTGAAATGAATGTAACTGGTGTTTATATCATGATTGACTGAATGAGCGCTCTTCGCATGCGTGAAAAGACTGCACGGGACTGGAGTTAGCGTTCCAGTTATATTCATTTCAATGACCTTGACTTGCACTTGTCATTTTCCCGTGACTTATCTGTTATCAGAATATGTTTGATATTTAAAAAACTTCACTTCCCTTTTGTTGAAAATATTTATTTTTATTCCAGGAATAATAAACGATGGATGGGAGTGGCTTCATTAATATCACAGAAATATGTGAAAAGAATCACACTCAATTAACCGCTGAAGAATTTGATATCTGGTTGGAAGGGTACTGCGATGCGCCCGCCTCAACAACAGAGAGACACATAGAAATAGCACCTTCTACTCCCTCAACAATGGGCTATGTCGTTTACTACTCAATCCTCGTGTTTGGTGGAATCACCTTGAACTTGTTGGTTATGATCACGATATTCTCCCGAAATCGACTTCGAACAGTTCCAAATGCATTCATGGTATCGTTATCTGTGGCAGACTTTTTAATGGCGACCGTTGCAATTCCCCTGAGAATAATGGAGCGTTTGGACAAAAACAACAATTATGTTATGACATCTATTTTATTTCCATGCATTGGGGTAGCATCCATATTTAGCTTATGCTGTGTCACACTCGACCGGTATATGCATATACGACACCCTTTAAATTACGAGAAGCACATGAACAAGATGCGAGCTGTCGGAATAGTGGTCGGTTTATGGGTTTTTTCCATCCTCCAAGCATCCGTGTTTTTTCTTGTCAACGAAAACCGCTACAACGAAGCAATTTACAACGATGTACGACTTGCGTATTGTTTTGTCATCCCCGCCATTTTTATCAGTGTCACTTACGCTAAGTTATTCCTGATAGCCAGATCGCATGCGCGTGTTATTGCTACAACTTCAGTCACAATCCCTGATCGACCATGGACACAGAAAAAGGATTTCAAAATACTAAAAATTATAGCTTTAATCGTTGGCACTTTTGTTCTTTGCTGGTTTCCATTTCTTCTTGCAGTCAGCTACGAGCTCCACACTGAGGACTTAGGTCGAGAGTTCTATTTGTTTATGGGTATCGCAGAATGCTTTGCTTGCAGTACGTGTGTGCTGAACCCGGTCATTTACGGCTTGTTGAGAAGAGATTTACGGATATCAATGAGATATGTGGCTGCATGTAAAAGAGAAAGTATTGAAGAGAGTCAATCCCTGTAGTACAAACATGCAAAATATATTCAGCTCACTGCCCATTGGGGCTTTCCAGTGACCGATAAGATCAAGTAGTGTGCTTACTTATATTACTTACTAGCCTGGACTATTTATCTTTACAACAATTGTGATATTATTTTCTTAACTGTATGTATATCCTAACCGGGCTAACTCACCCTGTCAGAGGAAACCGGAGCACTGATGGAAAACCCACAACTTGCCGAGCGTTGACAGACACTTTTCACATGATATAATCTTGAACTCTTTGCCAGTGTACGTAGTGCCAATCAAATTGCATCTGAAGCCCCTGCCGTGAGATCCCTACTAAGAAACACTTGATGCCATTGGCGCACGCGGGAAAATAGGGGGCAAAGGAAGTTGCCCGATTTTGCTGCATTTTGCCCAACTAATAAAAATAAATTTACCCTGCTAAACTTCCAACATTTTCGTGCGGGAGGGGGATGGTGAAGGCACTAATTTTTTTCGATAACATATTTCTTGCTTTTTAATTTATTTCCCCCATCTCGTTGCGCAACTTACGTTTATAATTTAGCCGACTTCAATTTTTCTGGGGGAAAGGGGCGACATTGCCCCCTCCGTCTATTAAGTTTATGCTTCACTGCTCCATTAGACTTGCTCCAAGTCTCTCTTTCATTGTCATATAGTATCGATCCACTATAGTGTACATTACATGACGTAGTACAGAGGGGCGGAGCGAGAAAAAGAGACTTGTCAACTTCGGAAAATCTCGGTTCAAAACTGAACCGAAAATGCAAGACTTGGTTCAATTGTTTTCCTTCAATTTCTTTCTGTATTATTTACTATAATGGAACTCGTGTTATTTACACTGTGCTAGATCAATACATATAAACACTGACAGAAAACAATTGAACCAAGTCTTGCATTTTCGGTTCAGTTTTAAACCGAGATTTTCCGAAGTTGACAAGTCTCTCTTTCTCGCTCCGCCTCTCCGTGCTACGTCATGTAATGTACACTATAGTGGATCGATACTATATGACAACGAAAGAGACTTGGAGCAAGTCTACTGCTCCATAGGTCATTGATTTTTTGTGGAACAAGCTCTGCATGTTGTAATTAAATTTTCGAAAAGCTTTTGGTCCGCATTGAGCGAAATGTCAGGTCTTCATTCATGTCGAAAGTTTTTCGAAAAATTAAATTCTCAAAAACCAATCAGTTTTCAAGAAAAATTATTGTGAAATTATAGAACTTGTATATAAGTTAGAGGTCTTTGTAATATATATGTAATAGAAATTCATGCAGAAAATCCTCGTTTATATTTTCCCAACATTATTTCAACATAAGTATTCTGAATCAGCCAACAACGATTGCATGCAGGCTGGCGTTGCTCACGTCAAGTGAGAGTAATGACATTGAACGATTAGTAGTTTTAATATTACAACCATGAATCTCAGAAATAAACTCTATGTATATGTATGTTATTATGCATTTTTAACGGCTGTAATATAATCATAATACAACATTAGGCACTTCGTAAAACGTTTTGAGACGTTCAAACTTAACTTCTTCTTGCCGAAAAATTATTTAACCTATTACTCTCTTTTTCATTCCAAGTCTTTTTTAAGGTCATAGCTAACCAGTTCCATCCAGGAAGCGAAAGGGAATGTAAACTTTAGCCTTGCATGTGGCTCCAATTTGTTATGTTTGCTCCAATAAAACAAATAAAAGATACCACAGCATTTTTAACATAACATGTTTGTAATGGAAGGAAAACAACAACAAGATTACATAATTATAAGCATACAGAACTTTAGCAAAAGTAAAATTAATGCTCTATAAAACAAACACAACGCGATTAATGACGCCTACTAAAGTGAAGAGTATTTTGAGGAATGGCTAACTAGTTTCGGAAAGAGAAGGCGACTGGCGACGACGTCATACGGTGAGAATTGCATGTTCGTACATGTGGGTAATCGATCCAAACGAGGTGATCGAATGTTTACACTGCTTGCTAGCTTAGGTTTACTATCGCCTAATTTGGCTGATTAAACTAGCCAGCCAATCATGCAGTGAAGCAAAACTTGGCCAAGGTCAGGCCTATACGCCTTTTCGGGGTAATTCGCGATCGATTCCACAGGGAGCCCACCGCACGTCCTATTATATCATTACATTACATATAGGATTAGATATGGAAATAGTTCAGTGTTGAAGAGCCTGCTGAGCTAGGCCCTGTATTTTGCGGGCTGGTTGGGGACTAACGCGTGCGAGGAATCTAATATTATTTCCTCTCCTAGGCCTCGCACGCGTTAGCCCGCAAAATACAGGGTCTTTGCCTGCTCTTCAACACTGAACTACATTATATGTTTCCATGTCTAATCAAATATGTAATGTTATAATGAGACCCAGGGTGGGCTCTCTTTGTCGATTCTTGGAATGTGGGGCAAACTATAGCCTATCGAAGGGAAGGTGGCTGTGAAACGTATTAGAATAATAATTATATTATATAACTCATTATCTATGTTATAGTCAACGTTTATTCATAAATATAGTCCTTCACCGTCGCGTGTACAGTATTTTCACTATTTTGCCAAGGTCACCAATAGCAATTTCCAATTTACCCTATTAATCTAGTCACGGATAGGTAACTTTCCTAACTAACATTGCTATTGGTTAGTTTGGCAAAAATATAATACTCGCGTGACGGTGAAAGGACCAGATTTATGAATAAACGTTGACCAACATAGATAGTTATATTGTTAGTCTAATGAGTTTCATAGCCATCTTTCCCTTCGATAAGCTTTGGGCAAACACAATGGTAAAACCATTGCCTCGTCGCTAAGTGGACACTTGTTCCTAGGATAATGATATTGTTACTCTATTGTGTTTGCCCTGCTTCACTGTGAATTTCAAGGAGTCTTAAGGCGGTTTTCCACTAGGCTAAATTTTTCGATCGAACCGAAATTTCTATTGTTTAAATTCAAAAGATTTCTGATTAGTTCCATCTGAGTGCTTTTAAGACAAAAGTAAATGTCGATTCGGTCGAAAAATTTCGCCTAGTGGAAAACCGCCTTAAAAGCTAGATTCCACTCAGGAAAATTGTCCGTGGATTGGAACGGACAAGAAAATTTTTCTTTGTGTTAAAGTCAGTAGTTCCAACCCAGAGCTCACAAGACAAAGAAAAATTTTCTTGTCCCTTCCAATAATTTTCCTGAGTGGAAACTAGCCTTGGAGACCGTTTTCCACCAGGCGGAATTTTCTGCACGGAGCGGAATTTCTCTTTGTCTTTTCTAATTAGTTCCACCCGAGAAATCACAAGACAAAGAAAAGTTCGCAAATGTCCGCCTAGTGGAAAACCGGCTTTATAATCAACCGTTTTTGGTGACAAAATGACACTTTCGGAATTCATTCATCTGCTTGAAATTTACAGTGTTGGCAAGATGGCGTGGCGAATTTCCCAAATCCTTTCATGCTTCCAGTGTAAATACACCTCCAGTTTACAAATTTGATTTAAATGTACCTTCCAGTTTGTTGTTTTACGCAATAAACTTACTAAAGTACATATTATTTGTTCCATCACACCTGGTACTGCATGGGTATAATAGAGCCGAGTAAGATTGGACAACGATACAAACGCTGTCACGTTGGTCAGGGCTTCCTTTCGTGTAAGTTCCCAATGTATACATTTCAACATATTTCTGTTTATATTCTGTTTAATAATATATTGAACTTGCAATTCCAAACTCGTTCAAAGCGTATATCATTAACAATATTTCGGCATTGAGATATATTCCATTTATGGAAATTAAGGCCTAAACTAATCCCTCGTTCGACATATAATGACCCAGTACAATACACCCATGCATACCAACATCGAATTATCGCAATAAACAAGTTGTATTTGCTGCTTTAGTCGCCACGAAAACATTTCTCTCCTGGTAAAAATCACCCAAGCAATGTAACAAAGAACAGCTTGAATTGTTTACAGTTTTCCAAAGACGTTATTATGGACTGGATATATGTTGGAATTGTTTGGTAGCAATGAATATCAAGGAACATATTGAGCTGTGCTAGACAGAGTAAGTTTTAAATTAAAACCTGGATATGAAATGAGCAGGAATTATAAGTTAAGAGTTCCCTTAACATGACAATTCCCCAAATTTTATACCGTCAAGTCAAAAAGTCGCACGAGTGTTCCCCACGGTCCCGAGACATACTGTACATGAAGGAGAACTTTTCTTAGTTAGCTCTTATGAACTCGTCAAAGGAGATCAAGAGTTGTAAGAATATATCAGCGAGTGTTCAAATGGGTATATTTCCTATTTTTTCGTGGCTCGGTTTATACTGAGAAGCAATTTAATTACATGCGTTTAGAATATAGGCTAAGTTATTGTATTGGCATCTTGGCACTGATTTCGTTGTCAACATGATATTTTGTTCAACCAGTTTCAACAAAGTGTCCTTACGCAATTATCGTGAGTGTGATTATTTGAGCCAGGTCTGTGGTAAACTCTCGATTTCCTATGAAAGTTTGACTTACTAAGCTATGAGATAAAATTTAATGAAGGGTGTTTTACACTGGAATGGGCGGTGTGAGGGGATACGACAGCGCGAAAATTATCTTTGCCTTTGGATGAGTTAAGCCAGTTTTCCACTTCAATCGTATCGTACCGAAACGTAGCGTATTTCTTTGTTTCCTGAGCGGTAGTGTGCGACTAATGACTTCGACACAAAACTAGAAAATGCTACGGTACGATATGGTTGAAGTGATCGAGGAACTTAAAACTAGATAGTTTTTCCGTGCGATTCAGATTGTGTTTATGTCATTGTACAATTGGGTAATAACAGAAAGAGCTGGGATTTGCCTTAGTGAGATGAATATTTTGTCATTTAAACACTTAATTGTTAGCAAGCCGGCAGAGCCGGACGGAATGCATGTAATTTGCATTTGAAGTATTATGGTATGAGAATGCAATTTCGGAAAGTACGTCACTTTAGCTATAGAGCTTCGTTTCCGCAATATTAACGTTCGGGTTTGACTAATATAGACCTTACGATTTTAGGACGGCAACGCGACGGCGACGGTCAAAACAAACTCCTTCAAATAAATGGTAGTAAAGATAGTTTGTCGTATATTATTAATCGTATGAATTTAATACAGTTTTAGAAGTTGAAGACATTGGTTTTATGGTTGGGAAGAGTTCTGCTAAACACAGTTTGAAGTGGCACTTGTTGGCTTGGAATGCAGCCGTTGTACCAACACGTGAAAATCTGTGATTTGGTGTTGTAGACAGAGCAAGGAGAATGTCTAAATTATTCATACATTGTAATTACTCAATTCTTTTCGATGATCTATTGTATTGGCAGCCGTTGCCGTCGCGTTGCCGTCCTAAAATCGTAAGGTCTCTAATGTCACATGTACGAAAACGAGGCTCTACAGGGTGTCCCCCCCCCCCAAAAATGTCCCCTGTCATATTTGGTGGTATTACTCCGCTATATTTCATCAAAGGTTCAATTTTTTTCAGTGGGTTGAAAAACAATCATATTATATTAATCGTAGTATTTATCTCACTACCGTTCGGCTTCTAGAGATACTTAAGGTGGCGACACCAATTTTGCAACCCGTCCAAAGTACAGAAATTAGGTTAAAAATAATGCAAGCTTTGTAGAAGGATTTCTAAAGTTTCTACCCACCTTTCTGCGTGCTCAAAAACAAAATGATTTTTATCTCTATCATTAAACTTTTGTTTCTTGTAGAAATTAATGAAAAAAGATGAAAAATCCCTGGCGAATTGACAAAGGCAAAGCTAAGGTTGGGAAAATGCCTTAAATTTGCTGTTTTCCGTTCAATTTGTTCCATGAAAGAGCAAATGTTGGGATTTCAGCACTAGTCTTTCCCCTTTTCTGGGGATTTGCTTCATTATTTTTACAGAAAATTAATTCGCGATTTTGGCTACAACTAATTACAAGTTTTAGAAAAGATATGTAGCCATTTACCATTAAAATATTTTATTACGTTCCGTAATATGTTTAACTGACCTATTATCCACAATTTGGACAAGTGGCAATATTGGTGTCGCCATCTTAAGTAACTCTAGAAGGCGGACGGTTAAATATTTTGGTGCGAAAAAATGCAACGATTAACATAATATGTTCATTGATAAAAAAAATGAAAAAATTTGAATATTCGATAACAGGTAACGATGTAGTACCACAAAATATGATAGGGGACATTTTTTGGGACACCCTGTATAACTAAAATGACGTACTTTCCAGAAGAGTGTATTAAGTTTGTTCTTGACGTGTTTTATCCATCATGGTCCAACATATCAGGCAGCGTTTACACTGTACCGTTTTCGTAGCGTTCTCGTATTGTTCGAGAGAACTAGACTATTGTCTTGCGTTCCCTTGAGGATTAGGAACAATACGAGAACGTTACGAAAACGGTACAGTGTAAACGCTGCCTAAAACATCTGTAGATCGTGGCGAGTCTTCGTTTCATACGATGTCGTTGTATCGACTATCGTGCTGTCGAAATAAATATACTAGCCTATATAAATGATGTTGACGCAAGTTTATGATCCAGTGATTCGCATTTCTTTCTAATCCATGATGGCTTCTTATTCTGGATTCGTCGTTTGAAGTGAAACGTTTGAAGTGAGTATAATAGAGAGGGTCACAATTGAGGAGTGTTCGTACAAAAAAGTGCACGAAATTCTATTATATTTCGACAAATCCGTGGAAATATTTTGATTTTGGGTCCCACAATTTGGGATTTTGTGGAGCTTCTAGAGATTTTTAGGGATTCTTGCACACCCCTCAGTAATTCTCGTTTCAGCAGAGCGTAATATGTACCGTGCTTATAAACATGAGTAATTGAAGTTGTTTTCCACGTATGAGCGTGACTAGAGTGTAACAGTGTATGGTCACGATATAAACTTCCTTTGATATTGCACGAATCCATCTGCAGACATCTTTGCATGTATTTGCATGACGACAGACATCTCGTTAAGAAACAGCTTAATCACGAACATATATTTGGAGACTTTTTTTAAATTTGGCTCATCAACAGTCCAGTCGATTGATTGAGGGTTTGTCAATTTTAATCCTGTCGGCCAATTGGCTGTCGTTCAAACATCTGGCAGCTGCGTTCCTATCCAGTGCCGCCGAGAAGGGGTGGAAGGGAGGGGGCAATTTGTTCCGGACCTGCGTCAACAGGGCCCCCAAAGCAACGACGTACGTCTCCTAATCTTTCTTGATGCAAGAGTACTAAACCGAGGATATAGTTCCTAGCCGCGTCAGTCCCGGATAATAAGCAATAAAGTACAATATATTGTAAAACACCGCTTCTCATGTTTTACAATTCTGACATCATTGGGCCCCTGGGAAAGTTACGTCCCGGGCCCGCGCAACTTCTTGGCAGCCCTGTTCCTACTATACAGGGGATTTACTAGCGTTTTAATAAAGCTCATTATTTCAACTTTAATTGATATGATGTTCATAATTATTTTATATGCAGGAAATTAAAATATATCCAATCATGAATAACAGTGAAAAACCAGGACGACAACTGAATCGTTACAACACTCGTCGTTCCTCTATTGGTGAATGCCATAAACCTTATGAACACATGTTGCTTAAAGAACTACCAGGTAACTTTTGGAGAGTAGTGAAGTGTTGGTTTAGGGGCGGACCATTATATAATTAGGGGGGGAGGGACAGTTGGGCAATTCATTCGGGCTTGATATTTTCTGTATGCTCTCGGGATTGTGAGGGATTTTTCTTTCCCCCCCATAATTTGCTAGCAGGATATTTTTGGTGAGTCTATATATAAATATGAAGCTTTGCAGGAATCTTTTTCAGGAGGTACGATTTTCAGGAGGATGGTTTTGTACGATATCTTTTACGGAGTTCAAGGCTGTGCTCAAATATTTTTTTGGTATTTGTCTATGGTTAGAAAATGAGTATCTTTTGTGAAGTTCCTTTCGCATTTTCATTTCAATTTTATTCGATCGTTATCAGGAGTAAAGCGATCAAATGCAGCAATGCATGCTGTTCTTGAAAGTGCGTTGGAGGATAACATCGAGGATGGTATGCACGAAGCACAGAAAGTTCGTAACCACGCTCTGATTCATTACCTGGCATCATTGGCAAACTCGAACAACAATGATGATATCTTTGATTTTGATTTCGTGGAATCTTTGATTGAAAATGGGGCGGATGTGAATAGTACAGACAGAAATGGGCAAACGATTTTTCACGAAGTCGCGCGCTCGTGGAATTTGGATGTTGCTTTGTTCTTGCTAGAAAATGGTAAGTACAATATAAAAACATAAAATTATTTGATCACATATAATATTTTTGATCACATATATAATATTTTGGGTCTATGTCGGGAACACCAGCCAGGACAAAGAAGTTTTAAAGCTACCCACGTTTTTTTCGGATTTGGACATGAATTTCTGGACAATAATTATTTGTTGAAAAGCAAATTCCTAACAGCTGCTGCTACGGCAACAATGACGTTTCAACATGGCGGACATTTTTGGTTTAAAGTAATTTAATTGAAAATAAGGTCGGTGACCCCCATTTTTTATTTTATAGCATGATTTCTTTTAGTATGTTGAATCGTTTTCGTGATTAAAAAGAGGCGGGGGTGATAAATACCAAATATTGAACTTTTTTAGAGCCGCTCCAATCGCGAGACCTTTATTTTCAAGATGCCCCCACCTTCACCCAATATTTAATTCGTTACAGTTTTTGGTGTAAAATAGGTCATGGGATACGTACTTGTGTAAGACATTGTGTAGCCTAAGTAATTAGAGGACCAGTATTCAATTGCAAAATGGTCGGAATGAAATTATATTTAACAATTATTCGCCGAATTAAGGCGAGGTGATTATCGGTGAATAAAAACCGAGACGAAGTCGAGGTTTTTATTCACGATAATCACCGAGCCTGAGGTGAAAAATTGTTTTAGTATAATTTCATAGGTGATTGTTTGGAAAAAAATAAAAAATACACATTTTTTCGTCATTTAAGGTGGCTCAATACAGTTTTTAAAAAAACGAAAAATTCACGATTTAGATGCGTAATTTTGGACAATTATTACTTGTTGATAAACAAAATTACCTTATTAAATATAAAACAACATCTAAAGACTAAAGAGTTTGAATTTTTGCATAAAAGTTACGCCACTGCCATTGCGATGGCAACAATGACGTTTCAAGATGGCGGATATTTTGGTTTAAAAGTAATTTAACTCGTAAACGACATCGGTGACCCCAAATTTTATTTAAAAAAACTATTTTTTTAAAAAACTATTTCTTTTAGTATAATCAATTATTTTGACAATTGAAAAAAAAGTATGTGGAGCCAAAAATTTTTAAATTACGTAAAGGCGATTATTCATAATAATTTTTTTTGGCTCCATAGAATTTTTTTAAATTGTCAAAATAATTGATTTTAGTAAGAGAAATCATTTTTTAAATTAAAATTGGGGGATCACCGATGCCGTTTACGAGTTAAATTACTTTAATTAAGCCAAAATATCCGCCATCTTGAAACGTAATTGTTTCCATAGCAACGACAGGGGCGTAACTTTTGTGCAAAAATTCAAACTCTTTAGATATTGTTTTATATAAGTAAGGTACTTTTTGTTTATCAACAAGTAATAATTGTTCAAAAATACGCATCTAAATCGTGAATTTTCCATTTTTTTTTAAACTGTATTGAGCCACCTTAATTGACAAAACGACTTCGGCCGCCATTTTGAAAATCACTTAAGTGATTATCGCGTTATAATCACCTCAACGGCAACCAATCAGCGTAGAGAATTTTCAATAATCGCCTATGTAATTAAACTAAAACCATTTAATCATCAACATATATTTCGCATGAGATGTTGTCTTTCTAGCATTTGCAACTATTATGTGATATACTGGGGGGGCTAGTTAATGTATTACACAAGCCATGGCAATCTTTGATTCGGCTCTTCCAGGTGCTGACTTAAACCAGCAAGATAAATTTGGACGTTCCCCACTGCATGTGGCTGCTGCAGTAGACTATGCCGACATGGTTCGTTTTCTAGTGAAACATGGGGCTGATATTAATATCACAACTTACGGCGAACAACAACTGCCAATACATTATGCAGCAAAGAATGACGGGTGCAAATCTCTTAAGATGTTACTAGGGTACGGAGCAAATATTGATTCCCGTGACAGTAAGAACAGAACGCCACTACAGGTAATGAATATTCTATCAATAGATATCCATATTTATTTTCTAAATACCTGTTGCAGTATTTCGATATATAGACAATTATTCTAAATATCGGTTACTTCTTCCAATTCCTTCGCCTCGTCCCCAAATAGCCTAGGTTCCAGTTTTCTCACGGGAAAAAAAGCGTTGAAATATAAGGCCCTCGGTCTAGGCTGGTATGCGCGTATATGACTACTTCAACCAGAGCGGTAAAATAGGACTAATACTAAATAAGTAAGTGAGTGAGTGAGTAAGGAAGTGGGTGTGCTAATCATCCCTACTTGCATCTGAGAGCTGAATTGCGAAGGACGCAGCTCAACCTGATCCAGTCAAAGGCTTACTAAGGGCGCCGCTGGCAGCCACATTATGACTCATGTCTGATCATGGAGCACAAGAACGGTGAAAGGGTCAGTAAGGGGGCGAATCCCAACCCACCCTATCAACATTCATTGTGGGAGGAAAGGTAGGTAGGTAGGTAGGTAGGTAGGTAGGTAGGTAGGTAAAAACTTTATTTAAACACGCTTGCCTCGTCAACATAGTGCTGATTTCCACGAGGAGCGTCACACAAACAATACAAAGAAAATAAATAAGTTAAAAAGTTACAATTTAAAAATACTATATACAAGAGTTTTATTAGCCCGTATAGCACAGAATCTTCCTCTATAGATTGCACATATCTCTCTTTTGAAGCAATCGAGAGTATCCGCCGATTTAGCTGCAGACGGAAGGTCATTCCATAACATAGCGCCGCTGTACTTAAAGTTTCTTCTTAGATATTCTGTTCTAGGTTTTGGAAGAGTTAAATCATTTTCGCTATTTCTGAGATTGTAGGTATTTTGTGTCACATTCAATCCGGAATGTCCGGAGAAAACCCACGACTTTTGGTAGAGCGTTGTTACATAAGTGTCATAAGTCCGATGTGAGGATCGAACCCAATCTCATATGTGCGGGACAACCATTGTCCATACGATGCACATATACTGATCCGTTATTTAAAGAATTGAAAATTCTGAAATTTGGTGACATTATAAATTTATTTAATTTAGGTATGTTCATGTTTTCGTATTGCAAGGACTTGCTTCCTGATGCTTTCCGTACTTTTTTCAACCAGTTAATCGAATTCATCAATACAAAACCCGGAGTTCCGGATTACTCTATATCTCGGACTAATATATATCAGACGATTCTCCGGTTTTCCATATCCCAAGCTCGTTTTATTTTCAATCGCATCTTTCCGAAAAAAAAATCTTTTGAGTTTTGTTTCATTAATCTGTTCGTAATAAATACTTAATATTCCACTGTAAATTAATAATTCTATTTAGTATAAATTTTGCATATCATATGAGCTTTCGCGCGTTCTGACACAGCGGGTCCAACTAAGAGCTGTGTTATGAGTATGAATAAAACATTATAAATCGTCATATGAATAAAACATATAGATTTATAAAAATACAAGCTCTTTTGATTTATACTTGTATAAATCAAAAGAGCTTGTATTTCCAGTGAATAGCTTCAAACAGGGCGCTTATATATGTTCAGAAACATTGCTGACATTGCTTCAAACGATTGTTCAAATATGGCGAATAAATTGACAAAACGAAAATATTACATGACGTTCCAACGAAAATAACAGCAAGGATTGCGGGCGCGAGCGGAAGGCGAGGGTAATAGATATTAATAGAAGGCATGAAACACCGGTAATGCGATCGTGTGATGTGTTCCATAAGTAGCCTGTTCTCTCGGAAAATTCCAAAACGCCTCCTGCCAACTCCAACAACGCCTAAGCGCTTAATTAATGAAAATAAACAATGTTTAGCTATACCGGCTAATATGAAATATTTAAATGTAGCAACCAACGTTTTTTTTTACATTATTTAGTTTTATTATTATTTCGTCATACGTCACGAGAACAGGCTACTTATGGAACACATCTCGCGATAATGGCCAAGAATGCTCGCTGTTATAAATCACATAAATTAGATTGATCAGTGCTTTTTAGTAATGACTAGGCTTGTTCATGTAAGAGAACATCGACTGAGCCTTAAAAACCCCACAAAAAGCTTAAACGGGTAGTCTAGAAGCATTTTAAAAAGTCACGTGATATTTGTTTCATCCCTTTTATTTATTTCTTCCCTCGCCTTTTCGCTCGCGCGCCCGCAATCTCTGCTGTTTTTTTCGAAGTAACGTCGTGTAATATTTTCGTTTTGTCAATTTATTGGACATATTTGAACAATCTTTCGAAGCAATGTTTCTGAACGACTGAACATGTGAAAAGAGTAAAAAAGTCAACGCTCTGCCGAAAGCCGTGGGTTTTCCCCGGGTACTCCGGTTTCCTCCCACAGGGAAAGTTGACAGGGTGGGTTAGGTAAAAAGGGCCCACAGTAATTGGCATATGCTGTTGTGGTGACCCTGCCCTAGTTGGCAAAGCTAAATAAATAAATAAACATATATAAGCGCCCTGTTTAAAGCTATTCACTGGAAATACAAGCTCTTATGATTTATACAAGTAAGTGCAATAATTTAAATATATTACGTTATGATGTTTTATTCATATTACGAATTTATTAATGTTTTATTCATACTCATAACACAGCTCTTAGTTGGACCCCCTGTGGTTCTGATTGGTTAGTTGACTAGTAAATCTGAGGCATTATTTACCAGCAGACTAGTAAATAATGCTTTTCAAAAAGAATGATTCGGCAAATTTGGTTTCAAAATCGACAAAATATTGAAAAAATCGTCCCAGAAAACGAAAAAAGCACAAAATGTTGTATTTAACTTGAAAGGTAGGATTTTTTAATTATTTTACTATGTCAAACATATTCACGGACAATTTAAAACTTATTTAAAACTCCGAAACATTCGCTTCAAACAAATAGCAAAAACTATCCCGACTGTTGGGAAAAGCCGTGATATTCTTTTTAAAACAATTTTGTTTTGTATCCCTATAAATTTCCCAATTTGTACGATACTATTTCTTTTGATATGTCATGTTTTCATTGTGCTGTAAGGTGTTCTCACTGCTGTATTGTGTTTTCGAAACTTGTAAAGTAAAAAGTGTTATTAAAACTTTATTTCGAACGAAATAGTTTTACATTTCATTTTGCCAAATTCCTCAGCCATTTCCTGAAGAAATTAATGCTAAACAGAAACTATTTTTAATTTTGAAAGAGTCATTCCCTTATTGTGTTTATATTCCAAGCACAAATCGAGAAGAACAACTTTGTAATAAAGCAATAAAGTCGCACAAGAAGCCATTTTGAAAGCGTGTGCGTACAAGAAACACTGCAACACTGTTAGTGACAGTATAAACCGTGAACAGGCCGAAAACAGTTCTATTTCTGAATTTTAATTGAACCGATATTTGGATATTTTATTTTTTTCATTAAAAATTTATGCTAAAACAATTATTCGCCTCAGGCTCAGTGATTACGGTGAATATTCACGTCGACTTCGTCTCGGTGAATATTCACCGTAGTCTAGGACCTGTATATGAGTTTGTATGCATTTCATTTAGCACAGGTAATCTCAACTGTTTTAGGGTAAAATGACCATGGCGGTCAACATGGCATATGTGCCAAAACCTGAATCCGGGACGAAAGTCCTGAAAATGTCCCCGCCCTGAAACGGCAGTGCCGACATAGCTCTAACTTCCGAAAAGCAAAAGCCTTTCTGAAGTGCTTATAGTGTTTAGAAGGGTTGCTTTTAGGGGTGATCATTGGAAGGAAAAATTTGTCTAAGTATAATATTTTACAAGAAAATGACCATGCATCACCCCAGGTAAATTGCTGATTATGCATAAAATAACTAATATGCCTGGCAGAAATTAAATATCCTTATTTCCTAAAAAAATCTCATGGGATAAAAAACTATGCTTAATTTAATATAACTATTGTAATTTTCATAAGGATTGTTGTTGTTTTCTTTAAATATAATACATTTTATTTCACTTACCCCCCACGAAAACACGATTTCAGCCATATTATGCCGTCTTGTTTGCTTTTTATCGCCGAGTCTCGCAAATATCATCCAGTTGTTGTACTTTTACATAATCATGAATGGCTAAAGAAGATTTCAAGCAAGTTTTGAAGCAGTGCAGTGTATTTTTAATATCTTCGACATTGTGTCCTTCGGTATTTCGTCAAATTGCCGCCATGTTAATGGCTCGCCGCTTCTCTGCCCGATAAATGCCACTTCTTCGTCTTCGTATGTATTTAGATTACAGTATCCAAGAGTACTTCATTGTAGAATAGTCCCAATCGAAAATTTGATAAGATTATTTGTATTTGAAACGGTATAACCTCCCAAATGAAATTTACGATTATAATTTTAAAAAGTCATTTGAAAGCCACGCGCAATCTTCGCGTAAACTTCTCGTGGCTACTTAAAACTCCTTCTCGCCACAGGCCATATCGCGTCGATCCTGAGCGATCGACGGCTATAAAATTTTATACCTTCGGTTTAGTGCATGCTATGAAGACAGAAATACCACCAATCGATTCAGAAATAAAAGATAGACTAGTTCCAAACGATAGTTATAGTCATTATTAACATTGTAACGATTTATGGGCCTTTGAAAGTCAAACACGATAATATTGTATCAAATTACGCAATTGTCTGAACAAAATATAGACTAGCCATACCTTTCGCTGAAAATAACTTCGGCCCCTTCGCACATATCGTCTTTGTTATAGTCTTGTTCGAATCCCCATCAAAAACACTATTTAGAGTGTTATTTGCAAGCCTGTATCTTCAAATCTGTATCTTTTATCAATATATTTCCATTTCTTGTCCGACTGTGAGCTCGAAGTGAGTTAATCCCAACCGGAAATACGTCTGAAAACCGTCAAAACAATGCGACGTTTGTATCATATGACCCTGGAAAGGCCAGAAATGGATTCGCAAGGTCAAATTGCACCTACACGCGTGAGTTTGACGTCATACCGGCCAACAGGAGCTTCTTATTGGCCAATTATTGCGCAATGTTCGCAAGTGCGAGTAAAACGTACTAAAACCCGATACCTTGAAAAATTCAAAATAAATATTTCTAGTCGGC